GGATTGGAAATGTGAGGGCTGCCAAAACTGAAAACCAAACAATGGGGGGCTGGAGAAGCTGAAGAGAGAAACCAGACTTAAAGGCAGAAAGACCTCCTATTGCAGATGTGTCTTTAAAAGAAAAAAAATGAATGAATTTGGGTATGCCCTGTCCATTTATTCTGAGTTCATTTATTTGAGGCCTTCCTCCAACCCTTCTCCAGCCACACAATCATTGAAAAGAAAAGGAGAAATTTTCAAAAATTTCTGATGAAATTCCATAAAGTTAGAGGCAAATATTTAAGAAACTTTCTGTTAAACATAGAACTGGGATGTTATTTTATGAGGCATGTATTAAAAATGCTTAAAATTGAATTGTTTTTTGCAAGAGTTTTAGAGAGAAAGCTTAGTATGTATTTCTGATAAAGTACAGGGTCAAAGTTTTTCATGTCTTTGAAATTTTAAGATCCCCAAGGGACACATGACCTCAGATTTGCAATCTCCTGAATGCTGCAGATATGTTCTAGAGATCAGAATTCCACAGAAATACTGCATCTATAGTAGGCAAAGAAGCTGGTCAGTCACAAACAGGAGTCCACTCTCAAATCTCTGAAAACTGTGAATGTGTCCCGTATGGGACAAAAGAAACTGTGCAGAGGTGACTTAGTTGGGCAGATAATCCGGACTATTAAAGCACACCCAAACCATTTAAGATTGGAGAACCTTTCTCTCTTGGGGTCAGAAAAAGGGATATAATGAAGGAAGGAGCATCGGAGAGAGGCTACATTACTGTCTCTAAAGACTAAGAGGAGTTGATAGCCTTCAAAAGCTGGAAGAGACAAGGAAATGGATTCTTCCCTACAGTCTCCAGGAGGAATAAGCCCAGCTAACACCCTGATTTTATCCCAGTAAGGCCTGTGTTGGCTTTCTGATCTACAGAGCTCTAAGTGAATAATGTATTGTTTAAAGACATTAAACATGCAGTAATTTGTTTTAGGGGCAACGGAAAAACAATATAGAATCTGTCTGCTACACATGAGACTGTCATCTTAATCTTACATACTGTCAAAGGGTTAACAAGGGAAACTGAGAAACACAAAGCCTGCACACACACGTTGTATTAGCCTGTGTTCTTGTGTTCTGAGCATAAATCAACTTAACACAGAACTCTTTGGTTATGTTCTGCTAAACACCAGTAAAATTCACAACTGGACAACTGGTTGTATATGGAGATCTCCAGAACCCACCACTCTGCTCACAGATCACAAAAAGTTATTTTGACTATCAAACCACAGTAATCTTATCAGTGACCCACGTGGCAAATCCTTAGGAACAAAGTCTGCAAAATACATGTCTACTCTCAGAAAGATCGGGACACTTTCAATATAGGGGGAACATTGTTTTACATTCAGTATTCAAAATTTACATTCAATGAAATATAAACATGTAAGTGACTCAACTACAGCCGCTGCTGAGGTGGAACCATACCTGTGTACTCATGCACTTAAAATGGTAGTTTTAATTCCATCTTTTCTTTGTGTGACCCACTCTGAATTGTTTCCAAAAGCATCTTCACTGGAGTTGAACCATATCCTGAGTTGTCAACTATAAGCAAGTTTCAGGCAGAGGTCCTTAACAAAGCTGTGACAAAATGATGCAAACCACTGTCACTGCTCCCAGTGCTGACACTGCTTTTGTTTGAAGCAACGGCAAATACAAGTATAGCATTTCACTAAGGATCAGATTTCCTTTGTAAGGCAAAGAGGATTTTTAAAAGTGATTTAGTGGGTAAATATGTATCTTTATTTTTAGGTTAATTATCATATAAAAGTCCAGATTTCATAAAGCATATTTTTTGTCACCCAAGGTTCTGCTTAAGTTTGAAAACCAGGCTCTTTTGATGCAATGGATGCATTTCAATTCAGTAACTAAATTTCAATCCAATAACTTTAAAGAGCACATCTATCAAAGCCTAGCTCCATTGAACAGCAACATGTCTGGCTTCTGTTATGTCCTCAGAAATGAGGACAGCCTGTTATCAAGGAGCTGCCTCAAGCCACCTTGAGGTGATGCTAATGGAGAAGGGGACTGTGTAGGTGAATGGAGGGGTCACCATAATAATCAGCAATGGAAAGGCTGGCTGATGTTACTGTTGACATCTCACACTCAAGGTGCTTAGGAAAGAATCATACCATTTGGCAAAAACATCCTGTGGCTGAATCAGCAGATTTAATGGAAAATCCCTATGTAAGCTATTTGTATACACGCTGGATTCTGGAGAGACAGGTTTGGTTAACATAAAAACAAAAACACAACAGTTTAATGTACAACTAACTTTGCCTATATGCGGAGGTAACCTTAAATATCTTTGGTTTTTGTTTTTTTTTTCTTTTAATTTGCTGATATAAAGTACTTGAATAAAACACTGATAAATACCAATATAAATGTATTGCTTTTAATTATGTAAACTTAGCTCTTTGATATTTTTTGCTACTAAAGCTAGATTCTCTACCTGCCTCTAAATAAATTTATTTCAGAGCTGCTCATCTTTACTTACTTATAGGCTAAACTATATATTTTAATGGTCTTTGGTATGAAAATACAGATGAGCAGTTATCTTGTAATATTTGGCATAAAAATGATATGCAGGTGTCAGTACTTACAGCAAATAAATCTTTGGAAAGGAAAACAGTTACCATTTGCATATTAGCCCCTTTGGAGTTGAATTACCATGAAATTTTCAACACTAGAACCTTCACATTTTAGTTACAATTTCATACTTCAGACTTCAAAGAAGCTTGCTTTGGCCAAGTAAAAAGAAGTCTTTACTAAACATTAAATATCTTACTCAGTGAGACCAAAATATTTATTTTTGGTGAAATTTTTTTTTCCCTCTCCAACAAGTAGTTTCAACAATTTAAAAATAGTTTAATACTGTATAGTTGAAGATTGACTTGCTGAAGAAAAAAAAAAAAAGAGTTGTACTTGAAATTCTTTAGAATGATCTTCTGGTAAAGAAGGCATTACAGCTTATTTTAAATGCTCTGATAACAGTAAGGTAGTTAACATTACTAGTCTAACTACAATAATCAATATAAACCCTATCATTTTGGGTTAGTAACTACTTGTATATGCTTTATATCTATAGATGTTTCTAGTTAATTCAATTTGGGGGGGGGATTATAATCGAAGTTTCACATTCTACTGAAAATTCTTTGGTAACAGGATTATTATGAATAATTCTGAATAAAAACAAAATGAAAAGGTTAAAAAAGAAAACTGTACTGGCAAATAACTGGCAAATAGTTATAGCCTAAAGATTTATCACAACTAAGGGCCTATCCACCAATAACAAACGCAGACGAATGCTTTCCTTAAGGACTACATGCCCTCCAATTCCTTCAGGTCATCTTTTTAGGCAGTTAAGACAGTTCAAATTCATACAGTCCTAGATCTAAAGTTTCACCTTTAGATTTTGTTTGCCTTTTAAGTTTAAAAAATAAAATGATCTCACCGTACTTAATTTTAGATACTGATACAACTTGGCCCCACATACTTTACCTACGAACCTAAAAACGCCATACCCTGTCAACGTGCCCATGCTTCCATGAGGCAGCTCGAAAGTAACAAAAGTTCCCTGAGTACAGGAAAAAATAACACTAGAATAACTTTAAAAGGAGGTAGTATAAACCAGGAGCGGTAAGGCAGGCGCGGCGCCTTCCTTGCTTCTGATTGTTCACCTAAAGCTCTGCTTTTCCCGGTTGCCGTCAGGCCTGATCTTAACTGAAGGGGACTCTGAATTTAGTTCAGAGGTGGCTACTGCCACTTCATGTTAGTTTCTTCTGAATATATCCAGTTTGGCACAAAACTACGGATTTAAAAAAAAGCAATTAAAAATGTTATATCATCAGTCGATAGGTAGGAGATGATAGTAGGACTATTATCTAGCAAACTTCTTTTGATTTTAGAACACCATTTAACTTGACCTTGGCCCATCTATCCACACATGACAGGTCTCAAGGAGAATCCATTAAGATTCCTTTTAAAATGAGACTCAAAAGTCATTTCTAGAAATTTTGAAAAAAAAAAAAATCTTTTTCAAAGGGCCCTAGGGCCCCCTCTCCATATCACACATTCAATTCTTTGTCCCCTCCCTCTGCTCGGCACCTTGGAATTGTCACCTGACTGAGAAGGCCTACCCTATGTGGCTGAGTAAACAGATGGCTGATTTCAAACCAGCAAGAGGATTAACTCACTCCTGGAGTTAGCAGTCCTCGTTCACAGCATCAACACTGAAGGAAGATTAAACCAAGAGTACCAAATTCTCTTAAGAATTTAACAAAAAACAAGTAGGGTGGTAGAGCTCTGAATATATATCCCTATGTAAAACCTGCACTTAAATAGTTACTGATGAAATCCAAGAAACTCTTAAGGCAACTTTTTGTACTCCTGTCCTAAATAACTTCATGAATATTAAAAAGCTATAAGGCAAAAAATTTCATAATATATACTGGAAGGCACTGTTACTATGACAACCTCAAGTTCATTTTACTGTGTACTGTTGCACTTAAATCATTCTTAATGGTTTATGAAGTTGCTTCACCCCTTTAAGCCAAACTGGGGTTTTTAAGTAAGAAAGCAAACCCTAACTGTTCTTAAAAAAATCCATTTTCTGCCTAGGGTTTTGCAAGTGATACTGGAAAAGTTGAGAGCGCTTTGCAAAGTAGACAGTGCAGCCTTTGGCTGACCATCAGGCAAAGGGGAAGGTAGAAAAGGCACGGCTAGAGGCAGGTGTGGGACAGAGCAGGCAAAGTGCTCAGACTCCAGTGCCCGAAACCCTAACAGCCTTTTAACGCAAAGGCAGTCCACATATGCTACTGAATGGTGCTGGTCTCAAAAGAGATACACTTGTTTTGGTCATTAAAATAAATAGTCCCACATCTTCTCTTCTCAGTGGCTTGACAGTCCTCACAGCCAGGTGTGAAATTATCCAAACTGTGCATGTGTCACAGTTTTTTTAAAAAAAAATCAGAGCTTCAGATAAACATTCTTACTCATCTACCTGCGTGGCTCCCTCGATCACACACATTACACACACAGCAATGAAAACAAAACGCTACTAGGAAGTATCATTGGTACGTAGCTGAGACAAACTATCACAACACAGGAGGTAACAAAGTTGTCTTCAGAGTCTGCCACTTGGCAAACTGAGGTAGATACTCAGCAAAGGGGCTTTCAGAAGTCTTCCCTTTGCTCCAGTGATACATTTTATAATCCAGTCAAATATCTTCACTGCCCTTTCACATTGCCGACAATGAAACATTCAAAATATGTGAGTTAAAAAAAAAAAAAAAGAAAACACATTCAAAAATGGCTGAAACACCCAGTAAGACACGAAGATTTTCTCAAAAGGCTTTGGCTCCCCTTTCATAGTCCTTGGAACGCACTTACAGGTACGAACACAGGGGCATGGCTGTCTAGATTGGAAACTCGTTGCTGTCAAAGCGGAGGGAGGCAGATGGTAGCCGTGGGACTGCCGAGGAGGTCTGCTCAGCTCCCAAGGGCACTGCAGGATCTTCACACTTGCCAGGGTCCCCACAGGAATCACTGCCCTCGAGGGAATGAGAGGTCGGGGGTGTGGTACTTATGACAGAGGACAGGTGTATCTCATCGTTGGACTCATGGGAGAACCTTCCAGAGTCCCCAGTCTCATGGCTGCCTTCACTATTTGCTGAATGCTCAGTGTCAGCAGCAACACCAAAAGGCCTTGGGAAGCTGGTGGTCTGGCCTGGGGAGCCAGGGGCACCTCTGTCACTGACCAACACAGTTGTGCCTGGCTGGTAAAAGCAGGTGGCTTGAGTCAATCTTCTTTGAGGCTAGAGGGAAACAGATAAAGTGGCAGTGAGAGGAAGAACTGTTCAAGTGCACGGACCAGAGGTCACCCTCATGGAGGGACTGGGAGGTCAGTGGTTCCCCTACACAAGGGTCAGGGATTTCTCAGCCCTGTCCCTTTCCCCACTGCCCCCAACGCCCACTGAAAGCACAGCTCTGACATCTATGGAGGTCACTTGACTGGTTCTCCAGTCACGCCTCAAAGGATCATCAGATCCATAAAGAAGACAATTTCTTCTCTTTTAAAGGGTCACTTCATATGAGTCCCATGGGCTGCAAGCCTGTTCTCATGTAGGTGGGTTACCTGCTCTATTTTCATCTTCTTAGAGCCTTGGAAAAAAAGCCATTTTTTCTTAGTGTTTTTTTTAATTATAGGACCGTAGCTATTAATTATCAGGTCAGTTCCTCCCTGGGGAAACAAAAGGGGGAAATGTAAATAAACATCTCGATATTAGAGATTTCAGTTTATCACAAATTGTAAGCAGAATTTTTAAATGTTTAAAGGAAAAATTGATCACAGATATAATAATTTTTTCTTCTTTTACACAGGCAGCATACTACATATCAAAAAGATATAACAGGTTTATTTTATTTATTTTTTCTTTTGAGACAGAGTCTCCCTATGTAACCCAGGCTGGCTTAGAACTCAAGATCCTCCTGCCTCAGCCTCCTGAGTACTGGGATTATAGGTGTAAGCAACCGTGCCTGGCTAGGATTACTCTAAGATAATATATATATATATATATATACATATATATATATATATATACCCGCATCTATATATAAATATGCATCTATATATGTATATATATGTGTGTATTCTAAATATCTGAAGTTTTGGAGTAAAGTGTAATGATTCTAAAACTTATTTTCAAATGAAACAGGCAACAAAAGTATATAGAGATATGAATTATGACAAGATGCTAACAATTATTTCCATATGTATTAATTATTCATTCCATTCTTCTTTCACCCTTTTTGCATGATTGAAAAAATTTAACAGCAGTTAGGGAGTCATGGAAGCCAGGTGCTGGTGTAACATGCCTGTAATCCTCACTACTCAGGAGACTGAAACTGGGAGGACTGCAACTGAAGGCCAGCCCAGGCAAACAGTTTACTAGGACCCATCTCCAAAATAACCAGAATAAAATGGACTGGGGGTGTGGTTCAAATGGTAGAACACCTGCTTTGCAAGTGTGAAGTCCCACCAAAGGGGGAAAAAAAAAAAAAGTTGTGGATCCACATATGCTCAACAAAACGGCAAAGGTGAGGAGGCACTAGCTCAGGCTAAGCCAAGGGAATGGAGGGAGAGCCCTTCACCCTGTTTCTCTCCTTTACTCTAGGCCTTCACTGCTCTCCGCCTTTTTGATGTTAGATACTTCCGCTTTCTTTCCATGTCTTCCTCCCACTTCTCCCCTATCCTTCCTTATGTCTACTTCCAAACTAGTAGTAACAGGCCCACAATATATTTTAGTGTTATTTATACTTCTTAAGAAGTTTTAGATTCTGGACTGGAGGTGCGGCTCCAAAGCACATACAGCACCTGCTTTGCAAGCACAAAGCACTGAGTTCAAACTCCAGTTTCACAAAAAAGAAAAAAACACATTTGGATTCTAATGTTACAGATTAATTTGAAATAAGTTGAGTAAGGGCTTGATCTGTATTTTTAGATTAGAAGCAAAAGCTATGTGAAATTGCAAACAAGACAAGAGAAACAGCAAAAATCAATTCAATATTATTATTCCTTATGTATTATATACAGACAGTTCTGTGCTGGACACAGGTAGACTGCATCTGTCAAATCCAATTACATAAAATTCAATATAAAAGTGACTTCTAAATTTCAGGGAACAATTGGGGAAGAGTAATTTGTAGCAGGGGATGGCAAATGTTTTCTGTAAAGACTGGAGAGTAACTATTTCAGCTTTGCAGGCCACATGTGGTAGGTGTTACATTTTCTCCTTTTTCTAAACAAACCTTATAAGAATACTAAAAATATTCTTGGCTCAGGGTGTGACTACACAAGAACAGGCTCTGGGCTGGCCTGGGCTGTAGTTTGCTGACACCTGATTTATAGCAGCTTGGTTATGGGAACTGCTATAATAATGCCCAATGTGACTAAAAACAATTCTAAACTGGTTTCCATAATGCTTACCACTGGACTACTGCATATCCTGGCAAAAACATGAAGTAAAACGTCTCCAATGACATTTCTTTACAATATCCAAACTCTGTGGGCCATAGAGGAAGGACCTTAGCCATCTATTAAGATGCTCGTGTGTGTGTGTGTGTGTGTGTGTGTGTGTGTGTGTGTGTGTGTGTGTGTGTATGAGAGAGAGAGAGAAGAGAAATGGAAAATGAACCCAGGGCTTCTCTTGAGCAACACCTCCACAGCCATTTTGTTTGTGAGACAGCATATCTTGCAAATTTTGCTGACTGGCCTCTGCCTCCAGAATAGTTGGGATTACAGAAAATTACCACCACTCCGGGTGAGATGCTCCATATCTTTTAAAATACCATTCATACCTGAGAAGCTCAGTTCAACAATCGATCAACAAACTAAGTGTAAAATGGATTAATAAAAAATTGTCCACTCATAAATACAAGGCAGTCCAAATCAGGTAAAACAACAGATTAATGTATTTATGACACCCTAGCTGCATATTTTTTTTTTGGTGGTGGTATTGGGGTTTGAACTCAAGGCTTCATGCTGGTAAAGCATGTGCTGTACCACTTGAGCCACTCCACCAGCCCTCCAAATAATTCTAATTGGATCTATGCTACCTTCTCACTTTTCTTTTTTTATCTTTCATACTTTATTGTTTTATCTATTCACATCTTTTTCTCCACAAACATTTTATAAAATGAAGGATGTGGGTGAAATTTCTTGTATTTCACTAAGAGGAGTCTGCATATAATTTGATCAATGTAGAGTTTTTGGCGAGTTAACTTCACACATAAAGAGAGGATGGGTGGAAGGAAGGGTCCTGCACAGGTCAGTCCCTGAGCCAAGAGTACCTTGGCGTCAATGAAGGTATTCGGCATTATCACTGGCAGCAAGGATTCCTCATTTTCTACAGCTCTTTCCAGGTTCTTTCCGGCTTCATTCCCGCTAGCTAAGGAGGCGCTGGCACGAGACAGCTGCTGAGTTCCATTCTGCACAGTCTTGGAAGTGGCTGATCTCCTGAAGTATTGGTAAGGAAAAAAACAAAAATCTAATTTCATAGACGACACAGACAAATCTACCAAATTTGGCCTACAATCGCAGCCTCGAAAACAATGGAGTTCTCCGATGCCCACTTTTCAAATATCTTTAGAAACTCACTATTAGCTCGTTTTTCCTTTTTATTATCATATTATTGTTGTACTGGGGCACAATGACATTTACAAGAGTGCTTACAATACATCATATTGAACTCACCCCCTCCATCACTCTCCTTTACTCCCCCCACCAACCTTCTCCCATTACTGGAGAAGTTTCAGCAGGTCCCATTTTTCCATTTTCATCCATGAGTACATAAAATCTCCACCATATTCACCCTCCTGCACCCTTTCCTTATCTCCTCCCCTCTTCCACTGGTACCAATCCCCAAACAGGACCTGTTTTATATTCCTGTCCCCCACTTTAGAAAAAAAGACATTTTTGTTTGTTTAAGATATCTGTACAGGGAGTTTCATCATGGCATTTCCATGTAGTGTTGGATTTTTTTAACTCCACTCACTGCTGCAGACTTTTATGACTTGAGGAACTACTTTCTTTTTGCCTTCCTATCTGCTTATATAAAATTACTTTCTACAAACAATAAAAACCTTAATAGTTATAGAGTGCAACTACTTATTGCTATGACTTATTTACTATTTGTGCAAAACCATATTCTTTTTACTTTATATTTTTCCCCTTCAGATCTGCAGATTGTTACACTAACCTAGCAATTTTCTCTGCTAATTAATGATTTACAGAAGCACTTCTGTAATATTTAGACATCACTAAAACAGTGAACATAAAGATATCCTTTAAGAAATTCTTATCTCAAACTAGCAAAACGCTATGTCTTTCTTATTATCTCTTATGTTTCCTCTTCAACAAAATTGGAGAACAACAGGTTTTGCATGGAAGCAGGGGGTGGGAGTAGGAGGGTGAGGTGGGGAGAGTGGGGAGGTGTGGAGGTAGCCCAAACAGTGTATATACATGTGAGTAAATGTAAAAATGATAAAAAAAAAAAAAATCTTAAAGGCAATCTGATAATAAAACTAAGCCAGTTCAATTATGTACAAAGATTTTTAGAACATTTTCATTAAGACAGTTATGTTTTGAAGTATGTTTCTATGTACAAGTATGAAACTTACAAGTAAACACTGAAAAAAATCTATGCCAATTGAGAGGTCAGTTTGCCCAACAGTTTGTCGGCCACATGGTCCCTAGCTACTTTATTTGTCTTAGTCCTTGTCTGCAGGTTCCCTCCCATGTGCTCTGTGCTGTTCTCAGTGACAGAGGCATTTCTGGTACATTTACTTAAATATGAAATATTCCAGACCGTAAGGAACTCTTTCAAGAAGCAGATGCATAGGATTAAGTATCTCAAGGATGTATTTTGTGTTTCTCAAAATACTCTGGAAATGAGGAAACTAAGCCCTCATTTCCAGAGTATTTTATTGGCATAATTTTTTTCAAATGGCAAGAAAATAATCTTCCTACAGAATGAACACATTTCTAGCTGAAAGAACTCAGTAAAACATTTATTTCAAAGTGGAAAAATCTCAGTTATTCTAAAAGACACTTGATTTCAGCTTGTTTCCTGTGGTTGCTGTAATTAAATGTCTTTAACCACCTCAGCACGTCTAGCAATGGAAACGCACCTGGCTTTACTTCGGTAAATCAAGATGAGAACACAGATGAGGATGCAGGTCAAGGCGATGCCTACACCTACAGCAATGCCCGTCATCGACTTTTGGTCCAGATGGTAATAGCCTGAATAAACTGGGGTGGTGAGGGGGGAGAAGCAGATCAGTCAGAAAGAAAAGATTCTGTATCATGATTTTCAGGTATTTGCTTTTCTATAATTTTTCTTCATTTCATAGGAAAAGCATTAACATACCTAAGCAAAAAAGTCACAAGTTAATCTTTTATCAGTGATTTCACAGATCAATTTATCTTCCAGTATCATATTTCAGTATCATATTATTTTATCAAACATGAACATCAACCCATAATATATAATACAAAAGGCACAAAACATAGATGTTCTTCCCCCACCCCCAGAGGTGTTCTTTGATGGGACAAAGAACAGCTGGCATGTTAAAATAAACGTGTGTGTTCAAGGTCACTTCTACTTCCACACATTAGAACAGTGCTTCTAAACTTGGATGTGCATGAGTCACTAGGGGATAGGTTGAAATGCAGATTTCAAGTCACCAAATCTGGAAGCACCCAGGATTCTGCACGACTAACAAACACCCAGGTGAAGCCCATGATGCTGGTCCCTAAGTCACTTTGAGAAAAGTATTTGATGAGCAAAGAAGAGCCTTGTCCTCTCTTCCCCAGATATGGCAGCTACTGTGGCTACCTCCTTCCCTTTCTACAATGTGACCACTCTCTCTCTTCACAGGGAAACACACACACACACACATTCAGTGGCACTGAATGACCACTATGTGCAGCTAACAGTCCTTAATCTTGTTCTGAGTTTAGCAGGCATCTCTCCTTAAGTAACACTTCCTCTCACTTCCCCACAGAAAAGGAGGAAAGGAGGTGTCTGGTTCTGAACCCCAGGGGGCATTGGATTCCTTCAGAACAGATGGACAGAGGCACTGAGTGGAGTGAGAGTAGCTTTTTAAAGATATTATCCCAATAGCTTTTCTGGAGAGAAACAACTCTCTTTCCAGAAAGGTTGTTTTTCTGTGATGAAAACTCTTAATGCAAACCATGCTGTTCTTAGTCAGAATACCACAGCCACCTCCCAGTTCCCCTCAGCTCAGGGGTCTGCCCTGGTGGCTGCACAGCTGGAAAGAGAAGGAATTGGAGCACAAGAGTCTGAAAGCCCCAGTAAATTCTGAGGTGCTTTTTCCCTCCTCCTCGTCAGAGTGCAGAAAGAGCCAAACAACCTGTAATGCCAGAACTTCACCAGCAACAATTTCATAAATTGTGTGCAGATTTAGGGATGTGGCAATTGTAGGAGGTGAAAAAGCTCTTTTTTTTTCCCCTTACAAAAGATCACACAGACCTTTGGTATCAGCAGAGTCTAAACGCTTGGGCCTCTGGTTTGACTCAGAAGTTTCCTTAGGAAGCACAGCCAGCTCCACAGAATTTGAAAAGGGTCCTTCTCCCACCTCGTTGGAGGCAGAGATCTTGACGATGTACACATTTCCTGCCACCAAGTTTTCTAGCAAAGCCATTGTTATTGCCCCTATAAATATAGCAATTACAAGTTAAGTAAACTTTCACAAGCATATGAACATGATATGCTCCTTTACTTTAAAAGTATTTTTCTGACTACACAAGTGACATATTTTCATTGTAGAACACTTCAACAAGGGAGATAAAAAGAAAATTACAATTTCCTCCCACTGTTAACAGTTTAATGTATCTCCATGTGTGCTCAAATGTGTGAATACATATTTCCTGCATGCACTTTTATATCTTAAGAGTTTTCATTTAGCATTGTACTATGAATGGCACGTGTAATGAATACAGATCAACAATTATATTTTAAAACACCCTTATTAGAAGTGTTTAAAATACTTATGGTAATAACTATGAGAAGCAATCTTCCTTCTTAAATAGCACATTATTTTCTTCTTTTCTTGCAGTACTGGCGGTTGAACTCAGGGCCTCACACTTGCTGGGCCGGGCATTCTCCCATAAGCTATCCTGCCTGCTTAACACAATTATTTTTGAAGGCATAAATGTATTTTTTCTTGGTCCTAATCATTATCTCAGATTTCTCCAAGGAAGCAAAATGCAAAGTTCCACAGGTACCTCAGAGTGTTGATAACCTTGGTTTCAGATTAACCACCAGAATGATCACTAGGGATCCCCTACAGGTAATCACACTTGAATTAACATAGGCTATTTAGCACTCTCTATCAACATGACTGCTAAGAAGGATTCTTGTCTGGATCCTGTCATTCCTTGAGGGATCATTCTCCCTTTTTTTTTTGATGGTGGTACTGTGACTTGAACTCAAGGCCTCCCAGTTGCTAGACAGGCACTCTACTACTTAAGCCACTCCACCAGTCCTTTTTGTGATGGGTTTTTTCCAGATAGGGTCTCAAGAACTATTTGCCTGGAGCTGGCTTCAAACCACAATCCTCCTGATCTCTGCCTCCTGAGTAGCTAGGATTATAAGCGAAATCATTGGCACCTGGCTTCATTCTGCTACTGCATTGAAGTATTTTTCTTACAAAAAGGACTCCCACACTAGGAATTAATCCTAATGTTAAGAAATTCCACCACAAAACTGTGCCAGCAAGCATTCGTAGTGGCTATGCTCAGGGAAATCCAACCTTCCTTCAGGGGTTTTCATCTGTCTCAGGGCATCCTTATAATCGCTTCAAAGAGCTCACAGTAGCTTGCTGCAGCCAACTCTAAGGCCAGGGCCTGCTGCCCAGTGCGTTTGCTAGAGTGTACCTCATTACGCAAGTGAGGCACGGGGTGATCTCAGAACTGGGGTCGTGATACACAGGTCACATGGTGTGAGGCAGCCAGACCACAAGAGGTAATGCCAGGAGCCCAACCGGACTTGTTTTCATGTGCTCTGGTTTCAACTTGGCCTGAAGACAGTGTGAGCGACTTGAGTACATAACTGCTAAAGAAATTAACCTCTATTTAGAACCAGAAAGAGCGTTTCCACTGGTACCATGTTCTTAGGCAGACACATTAAAAAACAAAGATGCACTGGGACATGTTACAATTAGCTAAGGAGGAACATTTCAATTTCTTCACAAGGAGAGACAGAAATAAAGTTTCCACTTTATCACAGAATGTATCTGATTTTTTAAAATGCTTGGCAAAAACCAATCACTACCAGAAACTAAAAGCCTTTTCAATTAATTTGAGTTTTGTAAATGGATCAGCAATGTGTGTGTACACACATTCCTTTTCTGCCCACAAAAAAGATCGCCATTTAAATAAGGAAACTATGTATAACATCCTGGTTCCTCTATGAACACCCCAAATATTAAAGTGTTCTGACAGTTGTGTTGCTGAAGCTGACCTTCTCAATCTCAAATAATGTGATTATTAGTCTATTGACTTTTCATATGTCTGAGCCTTAAGCAAGACAGCGTAATAGGCTCAGTAGGTTAAGTTTTGGCATGCTGCCAACTAAGTAATTTGAGCCTTCTAGCAAGTTCCTGAGTTATCCTTTCTTTATGGGGGCAACAGTTTCCACCCCATATAATTACCATAAGGATTAAATAAACTATCATTGGCAGGTGCTGACACAAGAGTATCTAACATGCAATAAAAGAAGCTTTCTTTCTCACCTCTGACTGCTTCTCTTTCTCTGCCAGTGGACAGAATTTTTTTTTTCATATTTGAACACCTTCAGGTGGCTAGCAGAATGTGCTATACAAGATAATTCTTAGTACATGCCAGCTGAACTTGCATTCAGATTTGAGCTATTTGTGATCAAAGAACTATTCATTTAAAAATATGACTGCACTGAGGGATGAAGAAGATGGAGGTAGACGTCATATGAAGGGAAATGGGAATATAACGGAGGGGTAAACTTGTTTAAGGTGCACTGTACACGTGTGAAATTATCACAATGAAACCCCCTTGTATTATGAATGTATGCTAATTCAAAAAAATGTAGCTCATTTTAGAAGACTTACTAAAATAAAGCCTTGAAAACAATGTGAACAGCAGGGTCAGCGGGAGAGACACGCCTAGCATGCACTGCTGGCTCCGTCCCAGCAGCTCCACACACTCGTGTACACTGTGTGTGCATGTGTGTGCTGTGTGTACTCTATGTGCTGCATACGCAAGGGAGAGGTTCCAGGACTGGTCGTGTGCCCCAGGTGCAGTCTCACCCCTATTTCTCTTCTGTCCACATTTTAAGTGATTCTTCTCAGTTCCTTTGCCTTGAATATCACCTACACACCTAAGTTACACCTCTAGTCCTTATGTGTTGGGGACTTAGCTCCACGACCCACTGCTGAATCAACCTCTGCACTTGGACACGTCAGAGGCACCTGAAATTTAACAGGTCTAAAACCAAACCCTGACTGCTCAAGTCATTTGGCTTCTCTTTTTCCTTCTGCTTCCCTCCCCCATAAATGGTGGCAAGTTCAGCTGACTCTTCTTTCCAATTATGAGGCAGCAGCTTCTTCTCACCTCACCATTGTGTCCCTGTCCAAGCCCTGGCTCTCACACAGACACCTGTCTACTAATGGTCTCCCAGCTTCCACCCTTACCTCCCCCTGATAATCAGTGTCTTGGTGGCTGCCAGAGCAATCCTTTTAAAGTGTAAATCTCATTAAAAGTCTCCTCTATCTTGCTTCTCTCTCAGGGTAAGAGCCACAGTTCACAAAGCCTGGTCTATAACAGCTGCCCTTGGTTAATTCCCTCTCTACCCCCTTTTTTTCTTTCCTTCCTTCCTTTCTCTTTCTCCTTCCATTTTAACTCACATATTTAATACCAAATGGAACAAAATATTTTTTTCAAGAATCACAACATTTTCAAAATATTTCTGGAGAGCATATGATATTTGTGGCTAAAATGGTACATGGCAGAAATGTGATGTGATACTATACGTGTCTGTATTCCCTCCCTCCCTTTCATTTTTTTTTTTTGCATATTTGAAAACACATAAGTCATAATTTTGCATTTTACATTTAAATATGCTAATGTCACTGTCTTAGGAGTCTCAAATTTCCTTTGTATAGTTTAAACTAAGTACTAAATGTCATGAACTGATTTTCTTTCTTTTTTTAAAATTCATTTTACTTATTTTTGTTGTACTGGGGGTACACTGTGAAATTTACAAAGTGCTTACAATATGTCATAGTTGAATTCACCTCCCCCCCATCATTCTCCTTTATCTGTCCCCACCCCCATTTTTTTTTGGTCTTTTCTTTGTTTTTTTTTATTGTGGTTCTGGGGATCAGATGCAAGGCCTCACACGTGCCAGGTAAATGCTCTACCACTGAGCTACATCCTGAGCCCCATCTCTCATTTCAGAGCATATCTGCTTTGTCCCTCATTCTAACCTCTCTGGCCTTGTTTTTCTTCTAAGGTGCCAAGTACTTCTGCCTCAGGGCCTTTGCACTTCTCTCTGATACCAACACTATTCTGCTCAGATCTCACTTCTCCCAAGAGAACTTACCTTATTAACCTCTGTCCTTTGTCTCTTTTCCCTACTGTATCTGTCATACTATCTACATATGTATACATTAGTTGGTTTACGTGGGGGGAGGGACTCGGTTTTGCTCAGTGTGGAAGTGCTCCAAGTTCTAAGAACAGAGCCAGGCACATAGTAATCAGTAAGAATTTGTGTAACAAATGAGTATGTTCCTACTTCTGGTAGTCCAATTTATTTGACAAATGTAGAATTAGAAAGTCCTTTATTGCAGGTGTTTAAATTTCCAGTGTGAATCTCTGATAGGAGGAAAGGTATGTGGTGTTTCTCAAACTTATTTCTAATCATGGAGGACATTTTTTTTTAAGGAAGAGCACTTTATAATCTTAGGAAACTCCTGAAGAAGGGACTTGCTGATATGGAGTGTATCTCCTTCAGCATCTTTTAGATTTGAAAGTCCTCGAGTAGTTTGGCTGATCTGCTGCATGCTGCATACCAGGAAGATAAAAACTGCAATTTTGGATGCACTTTAAATTACAGACAAGTATAATATCATGTCATGTTTCTGCTCAACCATTCTATCATGTACCATGTCAACCACAAATACCATATGCTCACCAAAAATATTTTGAAAATGTTGATTCTTGAAAAAAAAATCTTGTTCCACTTTGTATTAAATGTGTTTTAATATGAATGTAACTATCATGAACTTCCTGTGTATAGATGATCAGATATATGGGACAGAGACATCAACATTCCTTCTCCATGTTTTCCTATACTATTACCTTCTTGAGGTTACCATACGCAGACATAAAAGACAATTTTACCTTTAGTCTTTTTTTAAATGTCATGGTGTATCCCTTGCTTTTTGATTAAATGTGGATGAGTCAGCCAACATTTTTCTCTTTCAAAACAGTACTCAGTGGCTTTTGACTTTACTGTTTATTTGTTCTCGATGAACTGTTGTCTTTAGCTATGAAAAGGATCTCTAGATTTAAGGAATGACAAAAGCTCTTCACTGAGAATGTTTCTTAAAATTGCACCAAGCAGGATGCAGATTGCATTCCAGTGCCCTATTATATACTTGGAAAAGCTTATCTAGATGTAAAAACCTGCAATTATAACCCATTTCACTACTGAGACTTCAATGAGGTAAAATGTTGTTTGCTGAGCACTTTCTCAAACTCACAAATGAACACATTTGAAAACAGGCAAAAAAAAATTCTTTTCTTCTTAGGCAGATACAAGTGAAGAACTAAAATCTATGTGCTCATGTGATCAAAATTTTTTATTAATATATTTATGACACCTCACTAAATCAGGTTGGTCATGTGGTCAAGCATTGTGCCAGTAAACCATTTTAGACCTGAATAATGAAGTTGAGTTATACATTTTAAGAATATTGTGGTAGACTGTCACACTTGGTCCCCAGTGAGTAACACCTCCACTTACTAACAATCTGGGGCAATGTTGTGCAGGGTGCTCTGGGGGTGGCCTTGTGACTTACTCTGTCACCTGGGACTTTAGTAAGCATGACGCTAGCAGAGGTTTATGAAACTTCATGCCTGGGACTTGCTCCCTCTTTTCCTGACCTGGAATCCCTCTCCCTTGCTGTATTTAGTCATGCAAACTGTCAGATTGCTGCAACCTACTAAGAGTTCTGCAGAACCGCTCAGTTGATCCCTGCCAAAATCGCTGATTTGAGGAATTATAAATAACACAGTTGATTTAAGTTTTAGATTTTTTGGGGGAGGGAGTTTTAGCTTTTGGAGAGAGGGAGTTTTAGACTTTGAGATTTGAACTCAGGGCCTTGTGCTTGCTAGGCAGGCGCTCTACCACTTAAGTCAGTATAGGTACTGAGTACTCAGTACTTTCAAGTCTCTTCAGTGACCACAAAAGCACTTCTGAGTGGACCACATGATAATGAAAAATCTGAATATACAAGTATCAAATTTCCAGCTAAAGTTATCATTTGCTTATATCTGCAGGCACATAAATGTCTTTAAAGTTTACCGCTTTAACTGGGAAAAATTCCCCATGAAAGGTAAAATATATATGGAAATGCCTTGTACTGTACTGGGTTTAGAATATGTGGATGGCCACAAATATCCTTTTTAAAATCCTTCTTGGGCTTTTAACTGTTTGGCAAACAATTTTTTGTCCAGCATATGTGTCTGAATTGAGGATGTGCCAAAATAATGAAGCTTTACTGTTTATGTGATGGTTTATCTAAAAACAGGCATAGGGAGTTTCTCCAAACGAGAGACTGAAAATTATAAAAAGGATATAATGATAAAAGTGTGCAGTAAGAATGCTACAAGTCTGGGAATCTTAAATTTTTCTCACTAACAGTAAACTAACGTTTAAAGGTACTAAATACAGTGTCTTTAAGCCCCAGTGGGGCTTTCCCTGGACTTCAGAGAAGCCCTAATATTTGTGTGGGTCAATTAACTTGCAAGAGGACCATCTGAGGAGCTGCACAGGGTCTTCTCCCTGACACCATGTGTCATTGTTGCCCACTCCATGCAAGACTACCACCAGCATACACTGCTGACTAGCACAGCAATTCTCCCTCCCTCCCTCCTCTCTTTTCCTCCCATCCGAGCTATCAAAAGAGTCAATTTCACCACCTGTGTCTCTTCTCTTTTCCCCGGCAATCCTCCCATCCTAGCCCAGGTGATCACCCCTTTCCTAAATCACTACAATTACTTCCTCACTAGTCCCATACCACGCCCTCGTCTTTTCCTCAACCTACCCTCTTCTGGCTCACCACAGGAGAAGTCATCTTTCTTAAATAGGAATCACTCTTAAAATAAATGTCTTCCCAATATATTTTGAGTAAAAACCAAAATCTTTAATAATTTGTTGCTTCATATACAACATGTAAGTTCAAAACTAACTTTGTGCAGCTCTTTGCCTTTGTTTCCTTACATCACTAATAGTCTTACTTTCCACTCTCCTTGATAACTGGTGATTGTATTTACCTTCTCGGTGTAGGACCTGCCATTCTCCAGCAATCCAGGCCTTCCTGGACGCATACAGGATGGTATAGCGTGTCACGACTGTCTCTGGGCCAGCAGGGGGTTTCCAAGAAACCAGGGCAGTGTCATCTTCTATCAGGGTCACTTTTACTCCAACAGGTGGACCTTTTGGTGCTGTGCACGCGTGTTAAAGAATGTTGTGTTACTAGGACAAAATGGCTCATGAACACTCAAGCACCTGGTTGACAGGCTGGTAAGCTTAGAAAAGAGGTTGACAAACTAGAAACCACCATAAAAGCATCCAAAAGAAAACAAAAAAAATCACAGCTTTTAAAGACCATTAGTGATAACAGTAAATAATATATTTTCTTCTTTTTCTAAAAGTTAATTTCACTTTTATGTTTACAAGATTAAAAAAAAATAAAGGAGATGGTAGATTCTTAAGGAATCTAAATCAAAAGGATAGCATTTTTAGGACTCTTGAATTCATCCCCAGCACAGGGAGGAAGAAGGAGGATGGGAGGAGTGGGAGGAAGGGAAGAAAGCAGAGAGGGAGGGAGGGAGGGAGGAAGGAAGAAGGGCAGGCTAGTTTATAGTTCTACCAGTAGTACCTGTTCATCAGGTAATGGGTTCCAGCCATTAGTATTGAGTCTAAATTGTAAAATGTCTAGAGCCCTAACTTAACCTGATCTAGAAGGCCTCTGAAAAGAATGCTTCTAAGACCAAGACATCTAGTTTTCCCCCCAAAAGTTGTGAATCAGTGAGTTTACAGGACAGACTTAAGTTTAATAACTTCTATCTGTGAAAAGTAGTGAAATATTGGAAAGTTAGTTGGCTCCATTTTTAATATGAGCTGAAAGTGAAGAGCTATGTTTTTGGTGGCACATCTCCTATGAAATATTGGCAAAACCATGGTGAAGAAGCCCTCTTCTTGCAGATGTCCTCTACTTTCCTTTAGCACAATCAAAATACAATAGGAACGCTCCTTCTAGATTGTCTAGTTCTTCATCCTCACACCATAGATAAGAGATGCAAGTTTACAGACATCAATGTCAGCTGGAGCCAGAGGTACGCTACAGACTGTGCTCGGTCGAGGATGAACCCTGGACAGTGCACAACGTCAAGATGCCACTCAGAGAGATGGGCTCCAATTATCCACTCACCTCCATTTTCACTTGAGATTCAGCTGTGACTAGCATAAGGGCTTCCTTTAAGGGACACTAAATTTAAGCCCACTTGTTCTTGTGTAACTTTTTGTTTAGAAGAAAAATACTTTATATATGATAAAGGGAACATTCTTTCAAATGTTAAGGAAAACAGAAATACATCGATTGGTAGGTGACAACCAGGATAGTACCCTTCTCAAAGTGACATATATTAAAACATTTCGTTAAAAAATTGTGAGACACGCACAGGAAATCAATGTGAGTCAATGCCCTGTATAGCTATCCTTATCTCAACCAGCAAAAACCCTTGTTCCTTCCTATTATTGCTTATACTCTCTCTACAACAAAATTAGAGATAAGGGCAAAATAGTTTCTGCTGGGTATTGAGTGGGGGGAGCAGGAGGGGGTGGAGTGGGTGGTAAGGGAGTGGGGGCAGGGGGGAGAAATGAACCAAGCCTTGTATGCACATATGAATAATAAAAGAAAAAGGAAAAAAAAAATTGTGAGACAAAACTCAGAGGGAACTTGTTTTCCTTACCTTCTGGAAGAGTAGAATGGTGCAGAACAGGACTCCAGGGGCTGGAGAGCTGGTCCACATGCAGTCGCACTGCACATTCATATTTGGTGTTTGGTTCTAGACCCTGAACCAACATGTGAGTTTCTGACCTATGAAAAAGAGCAATGAAGTTGGAAGCATTTTGTTGCTGACACACTGTCAGCATTTCAATCAACACAATAGGTAGGACATATAGCATTATTGTTCATTAGCTCATTTTCTTTATAAAAACATTTTTTAACTATAAAAGCGATCAAATCTGAATACTAAAATGGTTCATTTGGTATTATTATATCGAAATAAGCCTGTAAGATGACTCTCTGAGAGGAAGCCAGAAAATTAACCATATAGAAATGGTCCAATACAAAGGGTCTTTCTCTGAAATACTGGAAGACCAATTGCTTTTCTAGGTCATAACATTGTTCTGAGGAGGGGTGGTACTTTGATTTGAACTCAGGTCTTTGCACTTGGTAGGCAGGTGCTTTACCACTTGAGCCACTCCACCAGCCCCAAATCACTTTTTAAAAGCATCGTAACAACTATTTTCCTAACTCCAACCTAGAACACAGAATGACAGCCAATTCTACTTTCTGGTGCTAAAGTTGTTTGCTGGGATTACAGAAAGCATCAGAATGCCCAGCTTGAAAATGTCCTTTTTGTGGGAGGAGGTGGGGAAAGGGTGTAGGAGGGTGACTATGGTACAAGTATGTTGTACACATGTATGTAAATGGAAAAATGATACCTGTTCAAACTATTTAGGAATGGAGGAGGGGATAAAGGAGAATGGTAGAGGGGTGAATTCAAGTATAATATATTTCATATACTGTAACAACTTTTGTAAATACTATAATGTACTCCCACCCAGCACAATAAAAAAAAATGTCCTTTTGTGTCTTTCTTTAAATATGTTATGTTTATTTTAGTTACTTGAAAATAAATAATCAGGTTGCATGAAGCCGAGAAAAATTTTTGAAGCACATGTAAATTGTGTCAAAAAGTACAGTTTTCAGAAGTGAATGTGACAACATATTAGGCAAAGTAAAAATAAGGGAGGCAAAACTCCCAACCATTTAGAAGTAAGAAAATCCCAGAAACAAATGCTTACAGCTGAAGCCCAAGCTGGGCCGATGATAGCAAGAAGTAGCAGTGGGGAGGAAATCAAAGAAAACAAGTCATCGTTGGAGCTACATACGTTTGCAGGTACAGAACCAAGGAAGCATTCTGCAGGCCCACAGGGTTACAGCGGACGGTGTAGTTAATGACCTGTGCGGTGGTGAACGCAGGCCTCCTCCAGTGCAGGAAGATGGAAGATGAGGTGTTAGCCTTCGCATAGAGATGGTGGGGTGGTGGCGGAGGAGGGACCATGCGATCACGAACGGCTATTGAAAAATACCATGTTCATTTACTGCACGACTTAACGTTTAATGTAGAAAGTGCTAAGATGGTAAAATCCTAAGACCCCACCCTGTAAGTTGACGTTTGGACTCTCTCCCACCTTAGACTCATTCATAACGATCTGGACGTAACTCATACCTAAACAACTCTCCCATGAGCTTGATGGAGTCAAATACTATCAATACTTAACAGACTACAAAACCTAAACACAAAAAAATCAGTAGGGAACCAGCAGTAGCAGCAAGACCAGAACAAGGTCTTCCTGTAGCAATAACACAGAGCAGCCACTAGAAGCAAAGATTAGCCTTGCAGTGAGAGAAAATTCAGTACTGTAGGTATTCAGTGGTTATTTTCTTCAGGAAAATTTCTAGCAGCCTTTTGCTGGTAAAATTAAGATAGGGTTTTGTAATTCAAAAATCTCACTCAAATATTTAAACACCTGACTAGAACTTTCCCAGATACCATGCTAGGCAGTATGGAGGATTTAAGTAATTAAACCACCAAGGCTTCTAAGTAGAAAGAGACTGAAATTTCAAGGAAGAAGAGAAAAGGGAGCACGAGCAATGGTGAAAAAACTACCATAATTCTCACTCACACACACATCCTGGCGTGCTGACAGTCTGGTCCGCCTGGTAGCCATCTTCTACATTATTGTAAGCCAGCAGCCTCACGTGGTATTTTCTTCTGGGGTCTACAAAGAAACCAGCAGATAATCACTAAGAGCAGCCCCTGCCTATGAACAAAAGCTCTAGACTTTGGTAAGAAACTTCTAAAAGCATTTAAGTTCTAAATGAAATGAATTTTTCCCTTTCCCCGTACCGCACAACTCAGTAATTCACACAGTATGACACTGCTTTTGTGACCAGTTATCTAAGATTTCACTGTGCTTCTTCTAATTTCAAATGATGACAGTATCACAACCACTTCTCCCCTCATCCCTCAACTGACTGGATTTTTATTTTAAAAGCCTCAGATTGCTTGATGGGTCATGAGAGGTTTATACTATGTACATGTTTCTTGTTTAGGCAATAATATTTGAGGATAGTTTACTTAAAAGCAAGAAATCAAAGTGAGATCGTTTTCTCCCTAAAAATTAAGGTAAATTACAACTGAAATGGTTTGGTACTTTTAATAAATTTATATAATTTGTTTAAATTTATTTCTAGGTATGTCCTTCCAACAAATCCACAGGGTCAGTCTAGAGCTAAATTCAAGAACGGTGAGTTGTAGCTCCCTCTACTGGTATAGGCTGAGTATTGTCACTTAAAATGAAAACTGATTCCAAGAACTTTAAAATAATTTTTTCAGGACTTTGAGGAAGTAATGGTTATAATTTTGACAGATATGCTTTAAAAAATATTCAGGAAGGTTAATAATATAAATACACTTAAAGTCAACAGCTTGTGAGGACACTTAACTACAAAGTACTTCTCTAGGGCAAAACAAATGCTACCCAGAAACAATGTATTTTTCTACCAAAACAAACACACAAATAAATTCAATCCTTAATCAGAGAAAAAAAAAAAATCATCCTTAACAGATATATCCTCTGTGGGAAAAAACTTGGAATGAAATCATAAAAATAATTCTAGAGTGAATTCACAGAATACTTAAAAAAAAAGATGTGAGGTTTATGAAACTTGACAAAATAATTTAAAATTTTGTATAAATATTTTAGAAACCAATGAATATGTCCTAATGTTTAATATTAAAATGCATTAAAATGATGCCCTAAACTATACATTTTTCATTTCCATTTGTTTTGACAAAATTAAAACCACAAAAGGAAAATTTCTACAATTTAGAAAGTTTCTTAGCTTTTTAGATAGAAAGTAAGAAGACTAATAACACTTAACTAGCTTGCAGAAAAAATGTTAGATACAATATCTTATTAAACTATCACAATGCTCTGTGAAGCATACGTTATTCCCATTTTACAAGTCATGGTACAAAGGTGTTCAGGAAAATGTCCAATGTCACAACAAAGCTGAGCCAAGATCCAAGTACTTGTGGATATTTCTATAACAAAGTGAAGACCCTCTAAGTTTATACAAATATGTGCCTTTATCACAAATAAGTCTGCCTTCTTATAATGAATAGAGGTATGTTCTTACATCTTGTAATTATTGGAAACATAGACACATTGGATTTCAGACTCAAATGACTGCCAACATTCAGCACTAAAAATTTTAAAATCCTAAAGATTCTGGTTCAGATTAATGACTGTTTGGATCTATTTTTCTCTTTCTCTCCTGCTAACACATGGCTGGAACACATCAGTCCACTGAACTCTGAGTTCAATACTACAATACCTCTCAGAGTTGGTAAAAATGGAACTTGATTGGCTCTTTGCACTCCAGTTCTTTATAAGTTCACAGTGCAACCGTGAACACCATTTCTCAGCCCAACAGGAAGAAGGTTTTTATAAAAACCTCCTGAATGCAAAACACACGCCAGGAATGCAGCAGGTACAGCAAAGGGAAGATCAGACAGACCTGCCCTCAAAGCAGCTCACGCTGTCCATGGACAGCTAAACATGCATACGGTTGCATACTGCTGGGAGACAACACTTCCCTTCAATGGTTACTTTTGTTAGCCCTAAAATGATGCATTCAAGTTTTTCTTCATCTTCTTTAAAATATAAACTTTAAACACAGAAATAAAACTATTTTTGCTGGCCAGACAGAAGTAGCTTATGTGTCCTGAAAAGATGGAAGAACAGAGTTGCTTTTTTAAAGTCCCCAGCCCCTGGCTGCTGCCCACATGGTACAAATCAAACAAGCCCCAACAAGAGAGCAGCACCCAGGCCTGTGTGGGAACAACATAGGTGTCACAGGTCTCAGGTGCCAGGTTCCTTCCTATGCTAGTTCACCTGAGGTCAGGAAGAAGCAAACCATCAGGCAAGAAAATCAAGTACACGAAGGGTACAAGATTTTTTTCTACCCATACAAAAGTCATAACTAAGAACAGTGATAGTTCTGGAGATTATTTTAGAAGGACAAATAAAATAGGATATACTATATAGAAAAAATAATTTAAAAGTGAAGAAAACCCCACACATATTTCTCTACATGTAACCTACTCTTTGTTCCTTACAAAGAACCAAGAATCTCTTCTTTTAAAATAAAGAGTGCCAGCCTAGGGGCAAAGCTGCACAACAGGCCACGTGGCTTTACCATGACGGTGGCCACAGGGTCCTCTTCAGCTTAAAAAAATTGGAATCCAAGCAAATGCTGTATTATTTTGGATCCAGAGATTCTGGAGCAACCTGACTCATTCCCATTTATCAAATTGTTAGAGATTTGACTTTCATTTGCAAATTTGAGAGAGGAACCAAGTACTCATAAGGTGGGCATTCTCAGGAATGAGATTTATCAGCCAAGAAAGAAAACAGAGAACAGCCACATAACTAACACAGTTGAGGACACAGAGTAAGAAACAAAAGCATCTGAGATCCTAAGTTCCCAAGTTCAGAGAAAAGCACAAAGAATGAACCTCAGAGAAGTAGCTCTGCAAAGACTCCCCCACATGAGACAAAGCAGAGACCAGGATCCACACTGCAATCCCACAGGCACCGTGCTCCCAAGGCTGGTTGCAGCCTAGTGAGTTAAACATTGCCACGTATGTGGTGCTTGGTTACAGACACTCAGCAGACTTAGGCCGTGTGGTTTTGGGGAAAAAACAGCAGTTGGGAAAGCAGCCACAGAGAAGAGTGCAGGCTTTTTCAAAGCCCAGCAAGGAAAGGAGAAAATGAGGAACGGGAGAAAGAAAAGAGCTGGCCCTATTCCTTAAAAACTCAACACAGGGGTATAAAAAAATAATCACTACTCAGTGTTTTTTTTGTTTTGCTGTGTTTTTTGAGACATGGTCTATGTTGCCCAGGTTGTTGCCCATGAACCTGCAATCCAATCCTCCTGCCTAAGTCTCCCAAACAGTTTAGGATTACAGGTGTATGCTGCCATGGCTGGCAATTACTACTCAGTTCCTTTTTTTTTTTTGTCACTGGGGTTTCAACTCAGGGCTTCTTGTGTGCTAGGCAGGCACTCCAACACTTGAGCCATTCTGCGGCCAGCCCCACTACTCAATTCTTAATGAACCCAGGGGTGATGACTCAAATAGACAGTATACTGACTTAAACTTGATCAAAGGTTTAGCAATATATAAAAATGAAGGGTTAGGAAAGAAGGCTCAAATTAATTTAACACAAGTTTGATCCTAAACATTTTGATCCTAACTGTTCAGCTCTGGGTGTCAGCCTGTGTGCAAGTTAACTGATATCTACCAAATGAAAGTTCTTTATCAAGGAGTGAGTCTCTGACCAAACTGATCACTTTCCTGGCATACTGCTTTGGTTATCACCTGTGACTTTCCTCTACTGGCTCCAGGATCTGCCTCTCCTTCCTTCTTTTCTCATTCTCTCTCATCACCAGCTTGTCTACTTGGGACTATTAGTCACACAAAGAAGAGTCAGAACCAGGAGTCTGATAAGCATTTTATCAAATATCTATCACTTGACAGATAAGACTCAAGGATTAAAAAGACACAACTCTTGCTTTTTACTTTCAATCTACCAAAGAAGATAAACTAATAAATGAATATTTTCTATGTATTATTATATAAGCTTAAGTTTGTTACTCTCCTAAGCCTCATGTATTTTTATGTGGAAAAATATAGATATGTAAGAGTACCTCCCTTGTTGGGATTTAAAAAGTATTTACTAAAATCATGCCTATGAAGTACACTGTACAGTTCCTATAATTAGTAAGCATACAACACTACTGTGGTTACTATGTGAGTAAAATGGCCTTGATGGACAGACAAGGCAGTACCAAAACTATGGTGCACTTAAACATTTGAGAGTTATCTTGTGAAGTCTTACGAATATTAAAGATATTCGTTCATATACACAAGGTCTAGAGTCCAGAATCCCAGCAAATTAGCAATTAGCAAATACTGAAGCTGAACCCTCCTGGCTGTCCTCATTCCAATTCCCAGGGTGGAGAGCCGGTGTAGGCTCCCAAGTGTGCGTGATTTGTGTGACTGAAAGGGCTGTGCTGCGTGTTTACCATCAGCAAGACTGCTTGCTGTTTTGGCAATCACGTCATATGGCAGATACTCAACGGTCAAGCCACCTTCACCCACGTCTTCCACGCTGCTCTAATAATCGCTCATCTGCAAACAAGGACACAGCCCTGATGGCCATGAAAGCTCTGGAAAACAATTTAATAAGCTTCTTCCCTAAGGGAAGAACAGTAAGTTGTTTCATAAAAGCAAAACGTGGAAGTATTTGAGGGCTAGTATTAGAAACAGCAAGCAGACAGAAACAGAAATTAATTCAATCTGTTAATCATATCCCACTTTTACAATCAGGTATTTGATTACAACGTAGAACAAGAAAAATGAAGGTCAATAAAATGCTACTCTCTGTAATGCCCAGATTTTTAAGTTGTTCTTATTGAGAATCTGCCCAGTCCACCCTAATGGGTATGATGTGACAGCAACAGGGGCCACCTGTACAGACTCAGGCGCAGTACGCCCGTCTTTCATCCCAATGTGCTCCTGAAGAGCACTCAACAACAACTCAGGCCTTCCTTCAGTGCTTTACTAGAAAAACTTGTTTCTCTTCTCCACCACTAGATGTCACCGTTGAGTCTGTAAGGACAGCGATGATCCCCATTCATCCAGCTACTG